CTTTGTAGACAGAATAAAGCAAAGACAAGGTAAACTAGAGCTCAGAAAATCGCTTCTAAAAGATTAACTTTCATCATTTAAAATTGTTGAACCCCCCTTCGGAAGCAGGAGAAGAAGGGGGATCTTTTTCAGACTGTTTAAACCTGCAGAAGTGAGTTTAAAGTAAAGTAACTTTCCACCGTCCTGATCCTGGAGCGGGGTGTCAGGACTGACGTTTGAAGCTCATTGACCAGAGACAAACGTTTTTGACAGATAGCTAGAAGAAGAAAAACATAGTGATTCCACTGTTCCCTTTCGCATTTTAAAGGAACAAATATTGACAAAATATCTGAAAAAGGAAACTTTGTTGTTAGATTTGTCCTTAAAAGAAAGAACAAATAGAAGTTTTTCCCCTAGAGGGAGACTGTGAAACTGTAACCAATTCCAGGGAGCTTGCAGCTGTTACAGATTACAATCGTGGGAAATAGACTTTTGACCTCGTAGGACAATGTATTCAGAAGCTCTGTTGTGTGCTCTGTGTAAAACAAATGCCCTACTGGAACAGTTAAATGAGAAGACGGATTTGATGACTAATGCGGTCAGAATTTTTGAACAGGCAGTGGGAAACTATATGGAGCCTACCCAGGAACTAAAACAGGAGTGTGCCCTGACAGAACAGATGAGAGAAGAGGACGTTGCTGATTCTTGGGCGCCAGAGATGGAGGGAGCTGTGGCCCTGCAGGAACATGAGCTTTTGGATTTGACAAATGAACTTGGAAAAGCCAGATTTGGAAAGATAAAGTTTGGACTGGTTTGGAAATGGGGGGTTGGATAGACCCCCCTATGCAGGGATGTTTGGACTTTCCAAGTCTGGCAATGGGCCGTGAGATGTTTGGGGCTGTGGGGGCTCTTAATTTTGGAGGGATTCTGAAACATGTTTTTAAATACCACATGGAGTTTAGTCTGGACTATGGAAAAGGGGCTGATTTGTTGAAAAGGGTCAAAAACACTACCAAGCTGGAGTTCCCACGAGTGAAAGGAGAATATGAAGAAGAGCCGCGGAAGGGACATGGAAGAGACTTAAGGGCCTCGGATATAAGGTTACCAGGTTAATGCGCTAGATCAATGGGATAAAAAGGACTGACAAAACCCGGGACCAGGAGGAAGGGACGCTGGATGAAGATTGGATTGTTTTTATTTCTTTTTTCTTTATTATTAGGATTGTTTTATAAAATTGATGAATGTTAGAAAAATGTTGGAACGAAATTACTTGGCTCTAGTCAAAATGTTTAAAGAATTAGGTAAGAATATTAAGATTATGAGAAGTTGATAAAAATAAGATTTAAGTTTTAAGGTTGTCTATAAGATAAGATGAAAATAGATTAAGGTAATGTAATGACAGAATATTATGAAATATGGAAAGGATTTGCTGTGATAATTAATAACCAGGATACAAAAAAGGGAGGAGGAGGAGGTCAAAGAAAGAAGGTAATGAAAGTTGAGGATTCGAGAATGATGGTTTTGTTTTTGTCTGTTTGTGGTGTATTTTTGTTTCTTTTTGAATTTGTATTGTTTGATGTGCTTTGTTTTTTCTTTGTTTTCTCTTTTTCTTTTTCTGCTTGTTTTTTTTTGTAATTCTAAAATTTTTTCAATAAATATCATTTAAAAACAACAACAAAGGGCAAGCTAGGGTGTGTGAAAAGGAGCAAAAAGGAAACTTTTCATTATGTGGGGAGAGACATAAAATGAGAGCTGAACTGTGTGTTGAAAGTATCTAGCGACTTTCTGAGGACTCTGATGTGAGTCAGTGGATTTGCTGCTTGTTGGAGTGCAGTGTTGTTTGCCTCCACATACACACAAAGTGTACATTTGTAAATAAACCACCTCCTTTCTTCAAGACTCTCTTAGTTGTTCTGTTGCCCTTGGGGTGGTAGCAGCTGTGGGATATAATCCATTGGAACAGTCAAGTGCTATATTCCCTATTTCCCTAGAGTGGGCACAGGCAGGGGGATGTTACTCCAGTCAGTGTAACTTCCTGTTCCACTGGTCTGGAGCATCCTCCTCCTGCATGTGAACTGGTAGATGGGCGTGGCCCTGGCTGACTCCATTAAAGACCCGAGTCATGCAGCCATTTCTCTCTCTCTTGTCTCTCTCTTGCTTGATCTCTTGCTTGCTGCTCTCTTGCTGCCATGCTGCTCTCCTGCAGCCATTTTGTTCTCTAGTGTAATTTTGCTGTCTGCTGGCTCTCAGCCAGCAGCACATGAGCTCAATCTCCATGTGAGATGAACTCACAGTTATGTAACTACTAAGCAAAGTCTGCCTTTCAGGGATCAAATTGTGAACTGAAATGTGAGTAAACTTCTTGTTACTTTTAAGGAAAGACTCTTGTGTCTTTATTATTTTAAGAGGGATAAAAGGGGACACCAGAAATAATCTATCTAGGTAAACCAGATTGGATTACTTAACTAAAGAGATTCAAACGAATCTGCAAACCAGCTTCCTGCTACATTGAGGGGAATCTGCTTTGCTGCATCACTCACTAGAGTGAGTGAAGGAAGGATAATACTTATTCAATATATCCTTTCCTACTATCCTCAACATTCCCACAGCAGCCTGGGAGAGGGTATTCTCTGTGGCAGCCCCTAAGCTGTAGGATTTCCTTCCTGCATGGGTTTTCATCATATGCTTCAGACATACCTCTTTACTCTGGTCTTTGACTATATATATATATATATATATATATATATATATATATATGAGAATTTAGGGTCCACCCTATTATTCTGATTGTTAATTGTTTTAACAGATTTTAAGATTATACTGCATTGCACTGGTGAAGGGTGCGTAAGAAAATACAAGTAACAACAACAACAACAAACCCAACAACATAAAGTACAAAATTGCAACACTGTAAGTCTTTGGTGTTCCCTTCAACCAAAGTTGAGGAAGGGCTACCTCACCACTTGAGTGAAATTGGGAAGCATGTAACAATATTTTCAGTTTGTTTATTCTTCATGGCAGAGAACAATCTCGGGTTATTCATCAGAAGGTTTCTAAAGGCTCTAATCCACCCAACTGCATCTGAACTTTAGGGTGCCGTTTTGGAAACTGCCCTCCATTTGAGATCTCTTCTCTGCAGCTTTGGAAAGGGAAGCCCTTAAGAAAGGTGTGTATGCCAGAAGAAACAGCACAGCACCAATGTTTAGCCACTGTGCACTAGCATAAAGATCAGGAGTTGGGTTCTTTCCACCCTCCCTGTCTTTGGACTCCAGTCAACTGAGAAGTTGATGGATTCAGCTGGAAGCAGCCAGCCAGATCTGCAGCTGAAAGAGGCCAGCTTCGATTCATTCCACACTGCTCTGTGTGCTGTTGCTTTGTTGAGGACCCACAGGTTATTTTTGTTCTGAATTAGAGCTAAAATAGGCTCGCAGAAGCCCCATGTGATATGTCTGTTGCTAGTCTGGACCATTTCAGACAGCAGGATGAAGTCCAAGGATATGAATATTCCCCCCATAACATACGCTACACATAAGGCGGCCATGTGTCTTATTTGAAAAAAAAGAACAGTCCTCTATTTGAAGGGCTGTCTGGTCCAAATCCAGTTCAAAGCTAAAGATCCACAAGAAAAGAAAGGAGGGGCCTTGAAGTTGCCCAGCAACAGTTAGCAGCTGGATAGCAGATTTAGCAGGTACACAGGTCACCTGGGAACAGTTTCTCCCCACTACGGTGAGATGTACTGTATTTCTGTGTAAATGACAATTATTTCTAATTTCACATCTATACATATAAATGGGCACATACACATTTTGCGGGAATATGTATTTTCCTTCTTTTTAAAAAGTGGTGTGTTTTATTCTTTTTTGGCCATGTGTAAGTAAATTCACATCATGGAATTGGCTATTCTCCTAGCATGTGCTAACTGCCTATGAACAGGAAATGCTTCACGTGAGCCCAACCTGCAAAGATGCAAACTCCAATCTACAGTTGGAAATGATATACTCCAGGAGCAGCAGAAAAGATAATCAATACTTTTGCGTGAAGGAAATGTTGAAGAAATCACACATTTTATGACTATCTATATGAATATTTTACAGAAAACTGAATTGCCATTCATTTTGTTCCTTTAAATAAAGCTTATTTTCAGATGAAGACTTTTTTTACCTTTCTATATACTTATATCATTAATTAGAAACAAAAAGTACAAATAATAATACAACCCATGTTATTAATAACCCATATAGGGAAGCTTTTTAATGTGGAATGTTTTATTATGTTTTTATATATGTTGGAAGCTGCCCAGAGTGGCTGGGGCAACCTAGTCAGATGGTACAAATAATACCATAACCATCACTACTCTACTATTATTAATGAACTCATTCATTTAGCTCCATCAAATATTTGGACATAGTCACATTCATGAATGAACAGGGCTCCCCAAAAGGCTTTACGCAGAACACAGCAGACCATAAATCTGCTGCTGAGCAACAGATTTTATCAGGTGGGGCAGTGGTCGACTGCTTTAGCTCTTAGTATGTGTGATGTAGATTAGATGAAAGTACAGTGGTGCCCCGCAAGACGAACGCCTCGCAAGACGAAAAACCCGCTAGACGAAAGGGTTTTCCGTTTTGGAGGCGCTTCGCAAAACGAATTTCCCTATGGGCTTGCTTCGCAAGACGAAAGCCCATAGGGAAATCTCCGGTCCGCGAAGCCTGGGCGCGCTGATCTCAGCGCGCGCAGGCTTCGGCATGCCGGCAACTCTCCGCGAGCAGCGGCAGCGCTGCCGCTGCTCGCGGAGAGGTCCGCGGAGCCTGGGCGCGCTGATCTCAGCGCGCGCAGGCTTCGGCATGCCGGCAACTCTCCGCGAGCAGCGGCAGCGCTGCCGCTGCTCGCGGAGAGGTCCGCGAAGCCTGGGCGCGCTGATCTCAGCGCGCGCAGGCTTCGGCATGCCGGCAACTCTCCGCGAGCAGCGGCAGCGCTGCCGCTGCTCGCGGAGAGGTCCGCGGAGCCTGGGCGCGCTGATCTCAGCGCGCGCAGGCTCGGCATGCCGGCAACTCTCCGCGAGCAGCGGCAGCGCTGCCGCTGCTCGCGGAGAGGTCCGCGAAGCCTGGGCGCGCTGATCTCAGCGCGCGCAGGCTTCGGCATGCCGGCAACTCTCCGCGAGCAGCGGCAGCGCTGCCGCTGCTCGCGGAGAGGTCCGCGGAGCCTGGGCGCGCTGATCTCAGCGCGCGCAGGCTTCGGCATGCCGGCAACTCTCCGCGAGCAGCGGCAGCGCTGCCGCTGCTCGCGGAGAGGTCCGCGAGCCTGGGCGCGCTGATCTCAGCGCGCGCAGGCTTCGGCATGCCGGCAACTCTCCGCGAGCAGCGGCAGCGCTGCCGCTGCTCGCGGAGAGGTCCGCGAAGCCTGGGCGCGCTGATCTCAGCGCGCGCAGGCTTCGGCATGCCGGCAACTCTCCGCAAGCAGCGGCAGCGCTGCCGCTGCTCGCGGAGAGGTCCGCGGAGCCTGGGCGCGCTGATCTCAGCGCGCGCAGGCTTCGGCATGCCGGCAACTCTCCGCAAGCAGCGGCAGTGCTGCCGCTGCTTGCGGAGAGGTCCGCGAAGCCTTGGCTGGACAGCTTTTGAAGGCAGGTGGGGGACAAGACTTTCGCCCGCCAACCTTCAGAAGAGGTCCAGGACCTCTTCTGAAGGCTGGCGGGGGCAAAGTCTTGTCCCCCTGCCTGCCTTCCCAGGGGCTTTTAAATTGCCCCGGACAGCGGAGAAGTCCTCCGCTGTCCCGGGGCAATTTTAAAATGCCGCCCGCCAGCATTTTAAGATCGCCCCGGACAGCGGAGAAGCCCTCCGCTGTCCCGGGGTTTTTTAAAATGCTGGGGGTGGGAAGAAAAGCCCTTGTCCCCCCCCCCAGCCTTCAGAAGAGGTCGGGGGACAGACTGTCCCCGGACCTGGTCTGAAGTCGGTTTCCCTAGGAACGCATTAATTGATTTTCAATGCATTCCTATGGGAAACCGTGCATCGCAAGACGAAAAACTCGCAAGAAGAAAAAACTTGCGGAACGAATTAATTTCGTCTTGCGAGGCACCACTGTAGTGGAGAAAGTAAACAATGAAATATACTAGGGTCCTAAGTCTGGCGTCTTGAGTTATGCCTAGAGAAAGTCAAGTCAAGCAGCAAGGTCTAAATTGGTTAAGAGTCTGATTTAAGTATGAGAGATAGAGGGAAGGCAAGACACTCTTTTTGAAACTTCCAATCGAGTTTAAAATTGAATTGCAGTTTAAAATAAATTGAACATCTTGCCTGGAGACAAAACTGATCATCCAGGGGGCAACCACCAAGCTTACTTTAGTCTTCTTGATCTTCATTAGGCGGGCAGAAAGCTTTGGTAATTGGGAGCAAAGTTAGAATTCAAGAACAGTGTGACTTTCCTTGAATGATTAATCTGCAAATTAATTAATGTTTAGTGTCTGACGAGTGCTGTAGTTCCATGAACACAATCCATCATGTCAAAAGACCAAGAAATGCTGGCAATATTAATGAGTTTAAAATTATTCAGTGATTGTCTTGTGGGTGTTTAATCATTTCCCTTACTGTACCTTAAAGGTGTGATAATTGGGGGATGGTCACCTTTTACCTTCTTCTCTGGCTGACCCATAACTAGGAAAATTTATTCCCAGTGGCTAAATTCTTTCAGTTGTTTTACAGTTCTGCACATGAAAATAGATTTGAAATCGTGTTTTGAAACAGAGGCAGGGAAGCTGTGGTCCTCCTGATGTTGTTGATCTTCCATCATTCCTAACCATTGGTCATGTTGCCTGGGACTGATCAGAGTTGGAAATCAAACAACATTAGGAGGGCTACAGGTTCCCCATCCCTGCCTTAAAATGTCTGTGGTTTCTTGTTCAGGCTTTCAGTTCACCCACATTAGAAGACTTCATGTGGATTCATTGTATTGACAGTGCATTCTCTACAGGGCAGATGGCAAATCAATAGACTCTGCCCTAGTGGGTATTAAAGGTAAAGGTAAAGGTACCCCTGCCCGTACGGGCCAGTCGTGTCCGACTCTACGGTTGTGCGCCCATCTTAAGAGGCCGGGGGCCAGCGCTGTCCGGAGACACTTCTGGGTCACGTGGCCAGCGTGACGAAGCTGCATCTGGCGAGCCAGCGCAGCACACGGAAACGCCGTTTACCTTCCCGCCAGTAAGCGGTCCCTATTTATCTACTTGCACCCGGGAGTGCTTTCGAACTGCTACGTTGGCAGGCGCTGGGACCGAGCAACGGGAGCGCACCCCGCCACGGGGATTCGAACCGCCGACCTTTCGATCGGCAAGTCCTAGGCGCTGAGGCTTTACCCACAGCGCCACCTGCATCCCGATCTAGTGGGTATTGCTTCACTACAACTCCCACCATTCTAGATTATTGGCCATGTTGGATGGGGCTGATGGGAGTTGGAGTCTAACATCTGGAAGACCACAGGATCCCCATTCATGCTCTACAGCAGTATGAAAACATTAGCTACTGCAGACACTCAATGCATATTGTATGATATTCGATTCACTCTACATATTGGATTTGAAATGGTTTTTGTATATGAAACTGCTACGATTGTTTCTATTAGGCTGGATTGCATTTTACTGGGTGCAGTCAACATTTATTTATTTTACTCCATTTATTAATCACTTTCTACAAAATATTTCAAAGTGATTATTTATATATAGTATAAATATTTTAACAATATATTTGGTATTAAATGGAACAGAGAATTATACCGAATAGTTCAGTCAATATTTTGTCCCTTTTTCATATCGCTGTAATGTATTTACAGGGTGTTTTGTATTACATTTGATAGAGATATAAATATTTGTAGTGCAATATAAATATATAAATATATATTTTGTAAAGAAAGTCTCTGTGGGCACGGGTTTGCCTGTGGGCACCATATTGGTGACCTCTACATCAAACTGTGCTTTCAGATCCTGATTTATTAACTTGTTAGAATTAGTTAGGACTACAATAAACCACAGGGGGAAGGGAAGTTGGGCTGTGACTTTTTCTTGTAATTTTGAGCCATGGTTTAGTGTTACATCTGGCTTGGTCATTAGCATATGAAACCAGTTAGCCGGCTAGAAATGTAGGACGAGAACTGCCAATCTCTTAAAGTCATAAAGATAAGAGCACTGAAATCAAAATTCCCAAGCCCCTGGATTTTTTTAAAACAAAAACATCCCTCTAAATGGCATCATGGATCACACACAACATTTCTGAAAATTCTTTACTCTTGTGGTGGTTGGGAACATGACTATTCATACAGTTTATTCTTGCATCAGTATCAGAAGCCAAAGCCTTTTGACAGTTGGGTATGGAAAATTACCCACATACTGTCATAACTTAGCCACTCTATTACAAATAAACCAGATGTGCTGGATGGTTTTTGAGTTTTGGCTCTAGTACCCAAAGAGTAAATAATGGATGTGCCAGTGGTAAAATGCTATAGAGATTATGGAAAATGCAGCAAATTAAAAAGGGGGAGAAACTGCAGCTTAGTGCTAGAGTGTTTGCGTTGTGCGCAAAAGGTTCCAGGTTCAATCCCCGTTATCTTCAATTAAGAAATATTTTCATTTGAAACCATGGAAAGCCACTGCCAGGCAGCGTCAATAACATTGAGCTGGATGGACCAATGGCAGTTTTCTAGGTACTATGAAAGGGAAACTTTTGCATCATTTCCAAGGAGTCAGACTGTAAGAGTTAAGCATAGGAAGCTGTCTTATACAGACTCAGACCACTGATCTAGCTAGTACAATGCTATCATGACTGACCATCAGCTCCTCTCCAGGTTTTCAAGCTGGGAACTTTTCCAGTCCCTGCTCACGATGGGCCAGAAATGTACGAAATTAAATGCCCTCCCTGCTGAAATACTAGAGGCCCCATCAGTATTGGCATTCCTGTGAAGACACAGCTGTTTGGGCAGATATTCCCCTGAACTTGAACTTCCTGATCTAATTGTTTTAATTCCTCTTTTGACTGTTCAGATTGTTCTGCTTTTTAATGGACTCATTTTATAGGAAATGTTAAGAATGCATTTCTTGAATGTTCCAACAGAATTGTCTTCTTGAGCATTTTAATTATGGCTGGAATACTGTGCCCAATTCTGGGCACCACAATTTAAGAAGGATGTTGACAAGCTGGAACGTGTGCAGAGGAGGGCAACCAAGATGATCAAGGGGCTGGAAACTAAGCCTTATGAGGAAAGGTTGAAGGAGCTAGGTATGTTTAGCCTGGAAAATAGAAGGCTGAGAGAAAATATGATAGCTGTCTTCAAATATCTCAAGGGCTGTCACATGGAAGATGGAGCAAGCTTGTTTTCTTCTGCTCTGGAGGGTAGGACTCAAACCAATGGCTTCGAGTTACAAGAAAGGAGATTCTGACTAAACATTGGGAAGAACTTTCTGGCAGTAAGAGCTATTCAACATTGGAACGGTCTCCCTTCAGAGGTTGTGGACTCTCCTTCCTTGGGGGGTTCTAAGCAGAGGTTGGATGGCCATCTGCCATAGATGCATAAGAAGAAGGTGAAGTCCAATTGTCCAAGGAGAATTCTGCTCATGATTCTCTGGATTCCACCTTTATCCATCTTTCTGTGCAACATTTTTAGACAGCAAATCTTGCTCAAACAGCAGATCTTGCTCAAACAGTTTCTTATTCTTGCATGATCAAAATGTTTATTCTCTCTTCCTTCAGTCCAGAAGCCTATGTCCCCAAAGTAATATGATGTCCAGCAAATGTCAGCTGGTTGGTGATTTAAGGAGGAAATAAAATAACTTGGTAAATTGTCAACATGCTATAAGTGAGACATAAATGTTAGTCACACCATTACAAAGTCTTCTGGTATTTACTTCTGCTGCGCTGAGCTTAGAGGAAATTAAAGTTGCACAATGCCTCATGTCTATTTGTGGCATTTTCCTAGCCACTGCAGAATGAAATGCAAAGCCAGGGCCTTAAAATGATATTTTAGGAATAAAATATCTTTTTAAAATGTCATTTAATAGTTAGGCTACCAACTGAAATCACTGTAAAGAAAACTACAAAACATCTCCTTTGCAGGACTGTGAGTCTTCGTTACATATTTGATTCGAGAGGCAAAGCAGGGCTGGTACAGCCATTAAATGGGGGTGAGGCCATCACCGTAGGCGGCCGAAGCCCCTTGGGTGAGATCTTGAGGAGTGTGTGAGATCTCACCCCAAACTGGCACCAATGTCAGCAGTTGAGGCGGTAGGGAAGGTTGTGGCAGCAGTAGCAGGGCAGGGCAGCACTTCTCTTTCACCTCAAGTAGCAAATTGGAACATGCTGCCTTGATGTAGAGTCACGAATCTGGAAAATCTGCAGATTCTAGTATAGTGGCTGCATACTGGCTTTGTACATAACATATATGTCAATGTGTATGGTTTCTTTCTGTGGTTTTCGGAGAAACAAGGACTCAATCTGTGAACATTCAAATACACTCTGAGGAAAAAAGAAACAAGCATGTTTCTGTAGGGTTGTACCCACATGTTGCTTATTGGAATATCAATATGCTCGTGTCATTATCCTATCTTGCTACTACAGTGGTACCTCGGGTTACAAACACTTCAGGTTACAGACTCTGCTAACCCGGAAGTAGGACCTCCGGTTCAGACCTCCTAGTCTCCTTTTCAGTGATAGTTTATAATAGTTTAGTTTATTATTTATACCCCGCCCATTTGGCTGGGCTTCTCCAGCCACTCTGGGCGGCTTCCAACAAAATATTAAAATACCGTAATACATCAAACATTAAAAGCTTCCCTAAACATGAGAAGCCAATGCCAAGCCTAGATTCATCTTCTTAATTTCAGCATCTCTTCTACTGTGGTTGCCATTTTTACCATACCCACCTACTCCTTTTGCTGTGACGCCCTGCCCATGTGAAAGTGTGGTCAGTTCTTAAATGGCTGCCGCATGTAAACAGACACGGTAGCTCCCAAATAATTTCACTTTGCCCACACCAACACCCCAGTCATGCAATTAGCTGTCTGTTTCTCACTACTTCCAACTCAGATCGCTCCTCCGTGATATTTATTGCTATTTGGCACAATATCCCTAGAAGGCAAAGAAGCATATTCTCTTGCCCCACTCCAGTGAAATCCATGACATCCAGTTCCTTAAATCCATGATGTATTTCTGATTGATTTCCTTTTGTGCATTATTGCTGCTCCATAGCTGCTTAACTGCACATCTGCCAGAAAAAGAATTCAGCTTTCATTGTTGCAATCCCACTACAGCTGTTAATTGCTTTGGTGTGCATTTGGAAGTCACTATTGATTACAAAGATGGTCATAATAGGAAATGGTCAGATAATTATCACATTCTGATAACCTCTCTTTACGAAAATTGTAAACAATGGTACTTTTGCAGGGAGGGGTGGTTGGGCCTTCAGCAGTCTATGGAAATATTAAATTTACAGGGCATTATGGCCTGTTAGGAGAAGCAGAAGGAAGAGAATCTTTTTGACAACTGTGAAAAAGAGAATATTAATTAGATTCCAAATCTCTCATGTTGATGCCTCAGAGCACTTTGCTTCTGTGATTTAAATTGTCTTAAACTCTTTATTAAACAGAGCAGGCAGCTTGGCACTGGAATCAAGCCTAATTCTGCATCTGGATTTTCCCGTTAAAAGTGAAAAGAAAAGGAATGTTAAGTCCTTCCCCCCAAAAAATCCAAAATGTTCTAGCTAGAGCACAGAAAATGTATTCTAAGAAGAAAAAAGGTAACACTTTAGTTTGATTCATCCTCTTTGGTTGCAATGATTTTTCAAAGAAATTTTAAAGAACCCTTTTCTCCCAGTAATATTATGGTTTGTGACTAATTATTAAGTCTTGCTGAAACCGGTGGTAACCTGGGAGTAAGTCATTGTAAGTCAATGGCGTCGTTCCAGGGAAGATCAAAAGAGAATAGATCAAGTTTGTTTGTTTCATGCCTTAAAGAATACATTACATTCAATCAGATCAAAAGTAGGTTTAATGTTAATGTATTTGACAACAAAGGCCCATGGGTATGTTGTTATTTTTGTTTTATTTTTTAAAAAGCATGACTTTTAACACAAAGGATCTAATCCTCCATGCTTTGAACTCAAAGGCATATCACCAAATGAAATGCTTTTGCCACTTGGGCAATGCATTGTCTGTTTCCCCAATTTCTGGAAAAGTATAGAATGCTTAAACAGTACAAAGATGCAGTTGAATAATGCCTTTGAGACCAACCATTTTTAAATGCAGCATAAGCCTCCATTTGTCATATCCTGCTTCTTCAGATGCCAGAAGTTGAAACACTGCCAGCCCTGTAACATGCGACAGTTAACAGAATGTTTAGCGTCTGTTCTAAGAAAATTATCATGTATAAAGTGACATTAACCTATATAACAGATCACACAGGTAAGCAAGAGGAGTATAACAATGATAGACAATTCATTTCTTTGCCAGCTTTTTAAATGAACAAAGAATCTAGTTCTTAAACCATAGTTTATTGCACCAAGAATGAGGTGTGCCCTTTCTTTCAGATGCCCATCTTTTGTGCTGATATCTTGGTTTGCAAAACCATTTTTCTGGTTAGGACGTCAGCATAAGCTGTGGTTTAGGAAGCCAAGATATCAGTGCTGAAAACAGATGCACAAGGCGAGAAGAGCAGGGGAAGAGTGAGGAAGGAGCTACGCATTGCTAGAGATGGATATATGTGACACGGGCAACTATTTTCCTACAAGTGCCCCAAATGTTTCGAGAAATGAATTTGGGGAAAACTGAATTGGAGGAGAAGATCTGTGTTACTGGGTAGAATATTAATTTGGAGAAATAAATTAATTTGAGATTCCTTTATTTGGGGTTAAAGAATGGGGATAATTGCATCCACAATTGATTTGGAGCAGGATCTGTTAGGAAATTATTTGAGGCATGGGTAGATGAAGTAGAGAGGAAATGATTTCAGGTAATCTGGAGTGGGGTGAAAACTGAATGAAGAATTTCTCTATAGTTATTTGGATGGGAATTTAGCTAACCTGTCTTCTATGAAATATAAATCCTAAATTTGTGCATATATTATGTGTTTGTGTGTGTGAATGTTATGCAACTTTGTGCCTATGGTCCTATCACCTGAATATTCCTAAGCAATGGCCCTGGTATTTGGGCACACCACTAATTCTTGGATAATGGTTTATTGGCCCAAGATTGTTTTGTCTTAACCAGGCCTTTTCCTGATAGGAGGCCTCCTGTGTTTTTAGAACACATAATAAGAGTCACATCTGATAACTATAATGCAAATGATAATGGTAAAAAATTCCATTCCCACAGCTGCATTGTGTAAACTTGTTCCTTAAGCTATATCCAGGAAATACAGATCAGCAGAGTTTTAAATTCCTGTAAACGTTCTGATTTGTTGTGTGTACAATTCTGAGGTAATTGAGACCCTGTTGTGTTGCTTACATTAGAGGCAGCCTCTGTTGTAAAACACAGTGGAACTGACTGGGATAATATTACAGGAAAGCTTGTTGTAAAAGATGGCTGTTATTTTCAAGGATCAACAGCTTAAACCTGGAAACTGAAGGGAATGGAGGAACAGTCATGTGGCTGTTAACATCTGGCCGCTGAAATGTTTGTCTGGAGCAAGATTTCATTCACTCTTCTGCAAAGTAGATGGATTAATACCTAAAGTTCTCACTACTCAAATATGCAGCTGGCAGTTAAGCAAGATAAAGAGCACTGGCAACCTTGGGTCCATGAGAAAGATATACAGCTGCTTTAATCTGTATTTTAACATATGTTGCCACAAAGGCACAGCCAAAGAAAGGGGGTGAGAACTGAGTGATGATGCAGCTACACTCACGATAAGTTTTTCAGCAGTGTCAAAGATGGGCTATGCCTGATAAGAATAAAACTGAATGGAGAGCTGGTCTTATGTCTTTGGTTTGGAGTTGCAAAAGAGCTGGACCTTGAATTAAATGGCTCACTATGCCAAAGAGCTAGTTAAGGATGAATGAGTGGGAAATGATATTTTGAAGCTACAGTGGTGCCCCGCAAGACGAACGCCTCGCAAGACGAAAAACCCGCTAGACGAAAGGGTTTTCCGTTTTGGAGGCGCTCGCAAAGCAATTTCCCTATGGGCTTGCTTCGCAAGACGAAAGCCCCTAGGGAAATCTCCGGTCCGCGACGCCTGGGCGCGCTGATCTCAGCGCGCGCAGGCTTCGGCATGCCGGCAACTCGCCGCGAGCAGCGGCAGCGCTGCCGCTGCTGGCGGAGAGGTCCGCGAGCCTGGGCGCGCTGATCTCAGCGCGCGCAGGCTCGGCATGCCGGCAACTCTCCGCGAGCAGCGGCAGCGCTGCCGCTGCTCGCGGAGAGGTCCGCGAAGCCTGGGCGCGCTGATCTCAGCGCGCGCAGGCTTCGGCATGCCGGCAGCTCTCCGCGAGCAGCGGCAGCGCTGCCGCTGCTCGCGGAGAGGTCCGCGAGCCTGGGCGCGCTGATCTCAGCGCGCGCAGGCTTCGGCATGCCGGCAACTCTCCGCGAGCAGCGGCAGCGCTGCCGCTGCTCGCGGAGAGGTCCGCGAAGCCTGGGCGCGCTGATCTCAGCGCGCGCAGGCTTCGGCATGCCGGCAACTCTCCGCGAGCAGCGGCAGCGCTGCCGCTGCTCGCGGAGAGGTCCGCGAAGCCTGGGCGCGCTGATCTCAGCGCGCGCAGGCTTCGGCATGCCGGCAACTCTCCGCGAGCAGCGGCAGCGCTGCCGCTGCTCGCGGAGAGGTCCGCGAGCCTGGGCGCGCTGATCTCAGCGCGCGCAGGCTTCGGCATGCCGGCAACTCTCCGCGAGCAGCGGCAGCGCTGCCGCTGCTGGCGGAGAGGTCCGCGAAGCCTGGGCGCGCTGATCTCAGCGCGCGCAGGCTTCGGCATGCCGGCAACTCTCCGCAAGCAGCGGCCGCGCTGCCGCTGCTCGCGGAGAGGTCCGCGAAGCCTGGGCGCGCTGATCTCAGCGCGCGCAGGCTTCGGCATGCCGGCAACTCTCCGCAAGCAGCGGCAGTGCTGCCGCTGCTTGCGGAGAGGGCCGCGAAGCCTTGGCTGGACAGCTTTTGAAGGCAGGTGGGGGGACAAAGACTTTCGCCCCGCCAACCTTCAGAAGAGGTCCAGGACCTCTTCTGAAGGCTGGCGGGGGCAAAGTCTTTGTCCCCCTGCCTGCCTTCCCAGGGGCTTTAAATTGCCCCGGACAGCGGAGAAGTCCTCCGCTGTCCCGGGGCAATTTTAAAATGCCGCCCGCCAGCATTTTAAGATCGCCCGGACAGCGGAGAAGCCCTCCGCTGTCCCGGGTTTTTAAAATGCTGGGGGTGGGAAGAAAGCCCTTGTCCCCCCCAGCCTTCAGAAGAGGTCGGGGACAGACTGTCCCCGGACCTGGTCTGAAGTCGGTTTCCTAGGAACGCATTAATTGATTTTCAATGCATTCCTATGGGAAACCGTGCATCGCAAGACGAAAAACTCGCAAGAAGAAAAAACTTGCGGAACGAATTAATTTCGTCTTGCGAGGCACCACTGTATATTTATGCATATAAAAAGAAAAAGGATGTGATCCAATGACATGTGAACCGGTGCCCACTCATGCAATGGGGCTTCTCTTCCTTCTCCCCACTGCAGTCTCCATCCCATGTGCTGCAAATTTCTGCCCCATAGGGCTGGGGGACCCTCTGGAGAAGATGTTGTAGGGTGAGGTGGACTGGAAGGGGAAGAAGAGAAACCATGAGTCCCATTGCATAAGCAGACCTTCATTTGACACATGGGCTGCCACAACTGAATCTCATCCAAATCATTCTAATTTAACAGTGATTGATCATATTTTATATTATTTATTTTCAGCAACACCAAACATTACAGAAAGAGCTACGTTCTCTTGCCCATGCATTTGTTGTATTCACATGTTAAATTTGGATTTAGAAAGGTGAACTAAACTTCGGAATGTAAAGAAAAGGCCATATTGTAAATATACTTTTATGAATATAGTCTGTGGGGAGGATTAGTTGTTTGCTGGTAAATTCCTAACAGTTGTGGGTTTCTAAAAAATGCCTCAAGTTTTTGATTTGCCTTAGAGTAGACAGTATCTAAAATACAAACGTTTGGACAGATGTCACCATGACAAATACTTTTGAAGATACCGAGCTTGAAAAAAACATGGCTTGTGATAAAAACATGAACAACAAATAAGCAAATAAGTAAAACATATCAGTAACAACTCTCCTATATCAGAGCCCCCCTTCCTGATATCTTTAGTTTACTTGAAGTCTTGGTGGTACTACAGAATAAGTTTATTCCATTGCTTTGCAAAGAGTACAGAGCCTATAAAGCTAAACCACAGAATGTCATTTGCTATAAACTTGAAATGCCCATAGTTTTTGTGGCAGAAGTATGTTTAATCTACTGAAATAAGTTAAACTCCTCAGAGCATTGGATGGAGTCTGCTTGCACAGCTTTTCCGGCCCCAGACGTTTTCTCGCAGAAATAAACTTGGAGTGGGGAGGGAAAAACTAAGGATAAAGATTACAGGGTAAGCAGGAGCGAAAAGTCAAACAGTGTTGTAAAGATGAAATGTAACGTTCATCCTTTTGGTATGCTGTTTTCACACCTATGCCCTTTGTGGTTGGTATGCAGCCAGCCAAACTTACTTCGGCTTGTTTAGTAATATGGCTATGATGGCTCTGGGAAATTTCCATTTCCCGTGTTTCAGTACATAGCTTTTTCTTGCTTTTAATCCCCTCATTCTTCTGATACGAAAAGGCCAGATTGGTATAGAATGCACACCATAAATGGTAGAATACACATAAGTCAATCCCATTGTGAATCACCAGCAGAAAGTGCAGGACTGTCTGTGCAACCATTTTACTACATCACCTTTGCAGCTTTTTACAGTTCAGTATTACCGGTATCTTTCGGGATGCTTCTCTTGATATGAACCTCTCCCTCTGTGGAATGCTCTCCTCTGCAAGGTCCATCTGATGCCTTTGCTGGTCATCTTTCAGACTCAGAGGTGTTTTTATATGTAGTACAAAATGTTAATGTTTTCTATCCTTGTTTATTTATTTAATCGATTAAATTACGTCTAAATTTGCTGCCACAGCAGCAAGGGTTTGGATCTCACAGAATTGGAAGATGGAGATCTTGCCTACAAAGAAAGATTGGCTGATCAAACTGATGGAATATGCTGCGATGGGTAAGCTGACAGGGCAGATAAGAGATCAGACGAAACAAAGATTTAAAAATGATTGGAATATATTTAAACAGAATTTGAAAGAGCATTACAGAGAAGTAAAAATATTCACTAGTTTAGAATAACTCTTGTGAGGAGAAATATTAAAATATAGTAGAAAAGTAGGTTACTAAGTACATAGATATGTTATGACGGGCACTCAGTTAAGAAATATAGAGAAACCAAGTAAGAAGGGGAGGGAAGTCAGATGTAAATGGAATATAAATGAATCAAATTATTAAGAATATATTTTTGTTTTCCTAATTACGTTTCAGAATCACATGTTTAATGACAGGAGAATTTGAAATGTTACTGTCAGGGGTTCAGGAGCAGAGGCAAGGGCAAGGGAGGAAACAGAGAGCGAGGGGGAGGAGGCAGAAGAAAAGATGAGTGATGACGACGACCCGAGATCTCCGAGTCTTTCCAGTGAATCAGAAGATTCACAGAAAGGAGCACCAGTGGCCAGGGCAAGGGGAGCCTAGGGGACGCCCCAGGAAGATAGAGCCAGAGGGGACTCAGAGGGGAGCAGTTGGAAATCGGGACCAGCGTCACCGCCAGAGAGCAGGGAAGAGGAAGGGAGCCAGGGATCAAGCGCTGGCAGCTCACAACAGGGGGGAGGGCACGAGTCAGGAGTGGCCACACCTCCATCGGGGAGCGAAGAAACGGTCAGACGGAAGGTGGAAGGTTGGGCGCGCGCCAAGTTCAAATGCACAGGAAGGTGGCACAGTAGGCAGCCCGGAAAGGGAGCCAGGTCCTAAAGCCCGCCGAAAGGAGGGAGAAGAGTCATTGTCAGCGTCAGCGTCAGAGGAATCCCGGAAAGAAGAGACCCCAGGGGGCAGAGGGACCCAGAGAAGAACAGTCAGGCGGAAAAGGTGGAGCAGGGCTAGGATATTAAGTTGGTGTACAAGGGGCGGAGACTCAGACGGAGCTTCGCCGGTCTAACCATGAGACGTAGAGTTGCACGCAGCAGTTTGAGAATGGAAACTGTAACTCAATAAAGACTTTTGTTTAACGATCGCTGGCTAGCGTGATCCTCTGTGAGCTAGGATCTGGAAGCAGCTCTGACAGTTACAATGTGATTTTATGAATGTTTGTTAAAAGAAACCAATAAAGATGAACTGCAAAAGACTATTTACACCCCCCTATCTATCTATCATCTATATCTATCTATCTATCTATCTATCTATCTATCATCTATCTATCTATCATCTATCATCTATCATCTATCTATCTATCTATCTATCTAATCTATCTATCTATCTTAGGGTGCGTTCTTATAGCTAGATCCCCAGATGAGTGGGCTTAAGATCAGGTGCTTCTGTGGCTAAACTGAGAGGTTCCTGGCTCAGTCAGGCTATGCTGACGTAACTCCTTCATACTGGCTCAGTCATATACATGCTGATGTATCTCCCCCAACTGGTTAGGCTAAGCCTGGTGGATCCAAAGCAGGCATAAGTCTTGAAAAGGGGGTGTTATGGGGATGCGGTGAAGGTAGGGCAGAAACTGAGCCCAATCCGAAACGTGTTCAGCTTGGTCACATGCTCTTGGCTCCCAAGGGGGTCTTGGGGTACCAGCAGACACAGGACCATTAGCTCATCGAAAAATAAGCAGACCCCCCCCACCAACCTGCTGTATTTCCCTGTGACACTGTATAAATGGCAACCAGAATGAAGGCTAAGAGGACAGCTTGGGAAGACAGTATAGTTTCTGGATTCTTGCATTTTCAGAGACAAAGGTTAGAGAAAAAATTGGTGACATTTTCATATATATATATATATATATATATATATATATATATATATATATTTGCTGTGGGACTTTCCACTGTGCATCTAAAACTATTTGCACATATGATACCGTTTAGTTGGATTCAGCTCTTGGTATATAACAGTAATGGGGGAAAAAAGGAAATCAACCCTGAGTGCCCACTGGAAGGACAGATGCTGAAGCTGAGACTCCAATATTTTGGCCACCTGATGAGAAGAGAAGACTCCCTGGAAAAGACCCTGATGTTGGGAAAGATGGAGGGCACAAGGAGAAGGGGATGACAGAGGACGAGATGGTTGGACAGTGTTCTCGAAGCTACCAGCATGAGTTTGACTAAACTGCGGGAGGCAGTGGAAGACGGAAGTGCCTGGCGTGCTCTGGTCCATGGGGTCACGAAGAGTCGGACACGACTAAACGACTAAACAACAACAATGTTCCCAGGAACCTATGAGATGTATCTAAGCTGTCATGGGTGTGAAATAGGTCACTGAATAGTCTTCAAAACTCGCAGTTAGCTTCAGTAATTGTCAGGCTGTAATTGACAAGCTGGACTCCTAAAAGTTATGGGTTTTGCATGTATTTTTAAACTTAAAAGTTTTTTGTAGTGTTTTTAAACTTTTAAAAAGTTTTTACTGTATGATTTTAAATAACAACAGCAACTTCTGGTAGGTTTTTAAGGAGGATTTCTTGGAAAAGCTGTGTGACAGTTTCTAGATGTTTCCATCACATTCCCAATTTCCTTAAATTGGATATGCTTTGCTGAACTGTTTTGTACAGTGGAAGTGCCATTCTTCTTGGAACCTATGATGAGGTGCCAAATTACAGTTTGGTTCTTTGGATATAAATCTCTCTCCAGGAAATAACCTAGAATCACTGGCTCATTACAGACTGAATTGCAATAAAAGTAGCTGTCCCGATTAACACTGAAATGAAGTTCTCTGCCCTACCAGGCTCCTCTGAGATTTCTTTACAGTAATAAATCTGTTTTAGCATACCT